GATTTATTATATTAACTAAAATATTTATTATATTAACAATAATGTAAAAGACGATCTTCGAAACCCGATGCCCTACGATTTGACGGAGGAGGAAACGCATATACAACAGACGTTTTCATCGCGAGTTAATTTGTGCACTCTGTTCCATCGATTTCATATATATATATATATTTTTCTTTTTAACATTAATCAAAAAGTTTCAGAAGAGAATTTCGAAATATCAACGCATCTCGTTATATCTATTTTCTAAAGAAGAACAAAAAAAAAAAAATATCAAAAATAAAAAAGAAGAGAAAAGAGAAGTATTAGCGCATTGGAAACAGAATGCACTTTTATCCGAGCACAAAAATTTTCGTTCGAAGATTTTTCTCGCGAGAAAATCGACTTAATAAACAAGATATGTATATTTCGATAAAAGTATGAAACAAACAATAGAAAAATTTAACCATCGGGATTATGTTAATTAAAGCTTCAACCGTGGCTGCTTATTAATGCATTACGGTCAATTATTTATATATATATATATATATATATATATATATATATATGTACGTATATATATATATAGAGAGAGATCTTAATACTTTCTTCGATCTTATACAAATCGATTAACGCGAAGGAGTTTAGCTCGGGTCTTCTTCAGGTAGATTTGTTCGTATTACGCGAGAATAGAATATTCGGAAGAGGACATCACTAATTCAGAAGTCTTTCGTTTCGTTTTATCTTATTTCACCGATACATTTGAAGATCTTCTTTCATCGTCATCGGTTAGAACGATTTTATTTTTTGTATTATCGTTCGTTCTTAGAAATACTTCAATTTGTTCTTCTTTTCTCCTTCTCTTTTTCCTCTCCTTCTTCTTTTTCTTTTTTTTGTACCTCGTCTTCCTCTATAGTAAACGAGTCATACTGAAACGCAAAACGATCGATACTCTTATCCCACGAGAAAAATAATATAGAACTCTTGAGAGTCTCCAATTATGTATGTACATCCTCGTATATCGATTATTCCGAGATCATCCGTATTAAATCACAGATGAAATTGCACCAGAACCGTCGCACCGCGCGAAAGAGCATCATTGTCGTTCTCAAACGTTTATCTCGTTCTCACGTTGAGAGTTACTTAGGCGTGGCTTTTTTTTTTTCTTTTTCTTTCTTCTTCTTCTTCTTCTTCTTCTTCTTCTTCTTCTTCTTTTTCTTCTTCTTCTTCTTTTCTCCTCCTCGTGTATTTTCTTTTTTTTTTTTTTCTTTTTTTTTTCTTTTTTGTTTTTTGTCTTTCTAAGAGAAATTTCAAGGCCAACGCGCAAAAAAAAGTTTTCCTTCGCTTTTACCAGGGTCTCCAGATGGTTTCGTCGGATTTAGCGACTCGTAAGAGACCCTCCGCGAGATGATGATGATGGCTCTGTTGGGGGATGGTATCGACGTCCGTTCTTACTGGAGATGGTTGACTCGAAGCCGGTGTAAGAGGCATTGAATATTCGTCGGAGCTAAGTTCGCTCGATGAGGAAGGCGAGGATTGTGGTGCAGCCACGTGGATGGTCAATGGTCCGGTCTTGTCCATTGAATTTAATTTGTGTCCAAGATGGGTCATCAATTTGGTACCTAAGGCTACATCGACGCCAGGCGTTGCCGCTAGACAACGGCTAACTTCGTTCGCGCAATGCGTATAACCGGCTCTGAAACGATCAGCATCTATCACCGGATTCGCTGATAAACGTTGCTGACGTTGAAGTTTGTGAAGATGGCGAACGGTCAATTCGAGGATATCTGCTTTCTCCAATTTTGCTACGTTTTCCCCGTCCCCGGCTAAAGCCGTCACCATAAGATCCTTCAGCTCGTCCAAGCAACGATTGATCCGTGCTCTACGTTTTCGTTCTAGCATAGGTTTCATCACCTGCAATTTCAAGTAGAACAAAAATTGTTTATAACTAAACAAAAAGAATTACTTTATTCATCGTCGAAAAATTTTCATGCGGATTATTTTATTCTCGGAAAAAAGAAATATGATGGATCATCCAGAACACACTTACCTTTCTATACTGATATGTCCTCGAGATAGGCTGCTCTTGGCCATCGACCATGATGATCTGCTCGTGCATCTGCATGGTTAATCCCTTATTGCTTCTTTCGACGTACTCACAACACCAATTTGCAGCACTTTATATAGTATATATAGTATATATGTGTGTATATAAATATACACATATATATATATATATATATATATGTATATATATATATATATGTATCGTGTACACTCAATTTTTTTTCTTCTTTTTTTTTTTTATTATTGCGTGCAGCAATTAACAATAACAACACACTGTTTCGTCGAACTATTTAATCTCTGTCGAAGAGAAAAATAGATAGACAGATAGGCAAATAAATGGATAGACAGATAGATAGACAGACAAACAAAATTGATAGAGAGCAAGTAAAACGGTCGAGCGAGTCAGTCCGTGATCGGTTAAAACGCGGCTCTCCTCGTCGACCTTTCTGAACGA